GGTAAGATGTTTTTGTCCACATCTTTGTTAGGCTGTTTTAAATGTATTTGGCCTATGAGAACGTTTTAAAGATGAAAACGTATTTGAAATCATTGAAAACTAAAGAAAGTTTTATATAGTATTTTCTTGAAAATAGATATTTTAAGAAATGGTAACAACGTTGATGGCCTAGAAATCGGGATATGGAGATCGTATCCTTAGGGACGAGACCCGAAACCCGGATGGGCCACTCCAGTGATGATTGCCTTGCAATGGTCGTAAGTAATTTATTATTATTTAATTACTTGCTGGTCCCTAAAACCAGTAATTTAAGTTTATTTTCCTTTTAGAAAAAGGTGGTTTGGTTCTGAATGATTCATTCAGGCCTGTACTTCCATTTATTTATTCAGTTTTATAAAATTATATCCTACTAGGCTTTTTGCTTATTTTTCTTCTGTTTCAAATGTAATTTAACCCCTCCTAGGCGACGTTAGAAGTAGCGCATAATACGTGGTGATTACCGATGAGGAAATTCCATTCAAGAAGAGAGGAAGCTGTGGAGTTTTCCATCATTTCTGTTCATTACTAAGGCATGTATATAAACATTATGGATTGTAAACCTTAAATTCTATTAGACTGCGGTTGATGTAAGTTATTTACATTTCTGTATTTATTCATGTATGCACAATGTGAAAACCCTGTGGATGCCGAAGGCTTACTTTTGAAATTGATTTGACCCTGATCGTAATTTTATAAAGTCCGCCTCACTCTTTCTAAAACCTAATTTCCTTAAAATAATGGGGTTTGTTTAGAAATTATTACATATATACTATCTTTGACTTTGACCTATGCTCAATTACTTTTTTAATTCCTATTTTATTTATAAATAAGCATCCACATCACCAACTCCTGTTTGGGGGCATCACAGCACATAACAATGAGTCAATGCTTAAAATAAATTTAATTTTAAGAGAGGAAACAAATAACTCTTTAGATTTTTATCCTTTACTTTTTAATTAAGGGTAAAAATTTAAACTATCGATACTACAACGGGTTTAATCATTGAATTAAGATTTAATCGTTTGATTTGTAAGTGTCCGTATTAAAAAATTTTCAACATGCTATACAAAAATGCTACAATTACAAATTAGGTCGTTGAAAACTTAATCGAACGGTCAAAACAACTATAACTACTGGTAACTAAAAAAGATAGGTACAACCGTTACAATTTCCATATTAAATTACTCTCATGTATTTTTTAGGTTAAGAATTGTATCATATCAAATAAAAAAAAATCTTACCAAAAAAAAATTACAAATACTTACCACAAGAAATGATTTTTTTAACCCATTAAAAAGTCTCATAATATCTCTTAAAACTTTGACTATATGAACATATACAAAAAAGTTTTTTTTATATATTTCTTTTTACCATGGAGTAGAATCCTCTTAAATTTTTTAAGTTATTCCTGAAATATACATAATTACTATATATCCACATTTCATTTTTAGTTACAAGTTCCGAATTAATACTTCAAATTTTTACCTTAGTCCCTTTTTTTCCCTGAGCAAGTATTTTTTTCGCTATGTTGATTTTTTCTTCATAAATTTCGAAGTGATTTTACTGTTATTTTTATTCGTTTGATAATTGTTACCAATCATTTTTTTTTTCAAGGATGGACGCCAAAAAGTTTTAAATATCTATGTTATTTGATGAATATTTTTATTTCAGTTCATAGTGTTTGTTTGAAAATTGGATGCGAAGTCACGGTCAATAGGAATAACGTCGGCACTCAATTCGACCATAGTGGGTCATCCCTCTATAATTTCGTCTTTCTATTGAAATGATTGCTCAAGGAAAACTTTTTTTTTTCTTTTTCTATCAAAAAAGTGATATGTGGTGCACTTCATTCCCCAGCTCCTTAGGCTATAAAAACAATTTTGAGAATCACAAGTATGTAAAAAGGATTTGAATTAGTCTCTTATTGAGCATTCAATTACTTCTTACTCCCTTCCATCCTGTGAAACCGCGGAGGCCCACTTTTAATTTCTCACAAAGAGTAGGGTAGTAATATGCAGATATAGAGTATCGAACTTTAGGAGAATGGACAAATGAGACTTAACAAAGACGTCCTTAATACTGCACCACGACTCTCGATGGTGCTCAAAGAAACCTATTTAATAGACTAAAAAAACATTTGAAATATCAATCATTTCATATTTTCTCCATAAATATGTATTAATATTTAGTATTTTTTACTCTTTCTCAATCAAATTTTTTTACCTTTTCTCAATCAAATTTTTATTCCCAGACACTTCAAAAAAAAAAAGTTTATTATCATCGTAATGTGTCCAAAACTTTAAAAAACCAAAAAGGATTAATTTCATTGGTGTCCTCTGAATTTTGAGTTTATTTCTACTTTGCTGCATAAACTTTGAAAATCCTACTTTACTATATGAAGTTTGAATTTTTCCCATTTAAGTCCTTTTATAAAATTATTTGTTAAAATCAAATGAAAAAAGAGGAGATTAAGTGTGATCATGTGGTTTTTTATCTGTTTATTTTTAACATAAATTCAAATAAAAAGACTATGTCACTACTTTACTCTCTTTTTTAATTTATTTTTAACATAAATTACAACAGAAACGTTAAATGGGAACAATTCGAAGTTTAGATGGCAAAGTGCAAATTTTTTAAATTTGAGAGACAAATTAAGAATGACTCTAAAATTTTAAAAGCACTAATAATAATAATGAAATATATATATATATAGCAATGATTGTTTAGAAAAATACTTACACCTACTTAAGATGTAAGAAGATTTTGAACTAGATATGATATTATTATAATTAGGTTAAGTTAAATCTGCGATTATTGGAGTGGCCATTTCTAACCAATTTTCATAAAATTTATTTATTGCAAGTATTTGTAGCATATCCCTTGTGGTATAAAATTGTCTACAAGAATCTCTTTTAAAATTGTGAATGCTAATACTCCCATGATGTATTATATAGTATTAGCATAATTTTGGTAAAAGGATTTAATATTAAATAGTTAGTAACTTCAGCTTTACCTGCATTTTGCAAAGGAAGGTAAGTGACAAAGAATTTGCAGAATAAATAAACACTAAAAAGGAAAAGTATTCTATTCTCATTCTTGTCCTTAATTTTTTCTCATCATTCTTATATTTCTCAACAACAGATAATTTCACGATAAGCTATAAAAAAATTCATTAATAAAACTACGTTTTAAACTGTTAAATCTCTATCAAATTTTATCTAGATATTATTTAACATTTTAAATATGCAATAGTGGTAAGCACCGATATCAGTAGAGAATAAAACCCTGAATCAAATAATAGAGAAAATTAGGTAAAATGCAACTGAACTCAAAACAGTGTGTGTTTCACAAATATAGCAATATATAAAGACATATATTATGCTTAGCTAATACTAGTATGAAACTCTGTCCAAATTGGCTCCAGTTTAATTGGGTAGACCCACATAATGGACATTATATATATCTTGCAAACCAAAATGATAAGTGTATTCTACAAAATAATAATAATATAAATACTAATAATTGCTTTTTTCGCTTTTAATTTTTTTTAAGGAGCTTTTAGTTTTTTCATCGCTTAGAAATTTCATAACATAATAGCATTTATCAGAAATCTCCAAGCGGATATCCCATTTTCACCTAAATATATAAAGCGTGAGTTCTTAGTAACATAGATGGCTAAAAAACAATAAGCCGGTGGATAATTCTTCAAGTGATGAATTGGATATATGATAAATACGTAAAAGTTTTTATACTTTGCTGATAGAAAAGTATTTTTAGATAATTGGCAAGGTTAACTATCGTAAGAAAATAATAATAAAAAGATAACTAGATAAGTCAATATCATCTTGTTTGGTGTTTCAGATTTTCAGTGCAAGTAATTGTTTACTCAAATTTATCTCTTTTCAGAGCATATATATAAAAAAAAATAAAAAATAAAAAAAATAAAAATAAAAAACTCTTTTTTTTTAACCTGGGGTGGGGGTTCAATTATCTTTTATCTTAATTTTCTAAAAGATAAATAACAATTCCAAAAAAAATATTTTATCCTAATTTTCTAAAAGATAAATAACAATTCCAGAAAAGAAAAAAAAGATAAATTGGATCGGTCACCATTCCCATTTTACCCTCTTCAAGATCATCTGATAATTCTCATTAAATAATAATAATAATAATAACTAAAGAAAGATTATCCATAAAAAAAGGGCAAAAAAGGAAAAGGGCAGTGCCCTCCAATCAGGCCATAGGACATGGTTAAAGTAGGCCGGTGTCTTTTTTTATTTTTATTTTTTCCTCTTCAGTTTCTTCGTTCCTTTTTCTTTTCTTTTATTTATTTTTCCCTAAAGAAACTCTATTTTTACTTTTTTATTTTAATTATTTAACGCAGTAAAATTCTGAAAAGTGACGCGTGTCAGACAATAATAAATATGCAGTCAAGCAGAACAGCACACGTGGTGGACATATCCCTCACCAACAAAATTCTCTCTCTCCTCTCTCACATGGCCGCAAAGGCACCAACGTAATTTTCCTAAAATCCATGACCATTTTCGTTAATTCACTTTCCTTGTTTTTAATTTAAGGAAAGCAAGTTTTTTTTTTATTTTTATTTTAAATCAAATCAATTTAGAAATTGTTTAAAAATTTATGACTCCGTTGAATTGAAATTTTAATTCGAATTAAAATATAATTTTATATTAAAAAAATAAATATAATTATTTTTAAAATTTTTTTATTATAATAAATTTTAAATTTAAATTTAAATCGATAAAATTAAAATTAAAGTCTTACATTACACGCGAAAAAAAACAGTTAAGCTATGCTTTCCCAGTGACAAACATCTTCGTCCACTCGTAGTCCTGCCAAACTTCATTCTCTCTCCTCACATTCTCTCTCTCTCTCTAAACTCTTCTCTCTCTCTCTCTCTCTCTCTAAACTCTTCTCTCTCTCTCTCTCTCTCTCTAAACTCTTCTCTCTTTCTCCCTAAACTCTTCTCTCTCTCTCTCTCTCTCTCTCTCTAATAAGTAGTGCGAGTCTCTTCTTCCCACTTTTCTCACAACCCCAACACCAGCCTCCCACTTGCTGGGTCTCTCTCTCTCTCTCTCTCTTCTCCAAACGCCATGGCCGACCCAGCAAAGCACAACAGCGTCCCCGCCCATGGCTCCACGGCCCTTCTCTTTGACCTCAAGAACCTCGTCTCCCTCCACAGAGCCAGACGGACCATCGCTTTCCTCTACGGCTTCATGTTCGCCTCCCTCGTCGTCACCCTCTTCCTCGCCTTCAACTCCTCCGCCTCCTCCGCCGCGCCATGGCTAACCAACGTCTTCTCCACCACCACCAACACAACTTCTTCGTCGTCCTCCGATTCTTACAGATCTCAATTCTCTTCCATATTCTCGTACTTTTTCCCGGCTAACAACTCCTCTCCGCCGCAAGAAACTTACACCGTTCTCTCTCTTCCTCCAGCGCCGGCGGTTCCAGAAACCAACTCCTCTAGATCCGGAAACGCCACCTTGTCCTCTTCGTCTCCTCCCATGGATAATCGCACTCAAACCGCTTCGAATTCCGATAAGCCTGAACTTCCGGCGAAAAACCGCCACAATGCGAGTTCGATTCCCAGCGTCGGCCAAGAAAAATCGGTCTCAAAGAACCAGACTTCTCAGAGTTCGAATCTGACGGCGATAGTCACGCCGGAATCTCCTCCGCCGGCGAACAATACCTCGAAAAGCGTGCCGCAGAAGTCCGCGTCGAACAGTACGGCCTCGTTCAACGGGAAACAGAACAATGAGACTAGTTCCGGTTTGTCGGCAGAGCAGGATAAGAAGAAGAAGGAGAAGACAAACGGTGGTGATGATTCGATTGAGGCTCTGATGAAGTGCGATTTCTTTGATGGCGAATGGGTGAGAGACGATTCTTACCAGTTGTATTACAAACCCGGTTCTTGTTCTTTTATCGATGAACAGTTTAATTGCATTCTTAATGGAAGACCTGATAAGGATTATCAGAAGTTTAAGTGGAAACCTAAGGGCTGTAATCTTCCGAGGTACGCAATAATTCAAAACTTTCCTTTAATCAGATACTAATTTTCATGTTTTTTTTTTCTATTTTTATTAATTGTACACTTTATTATTATTATTTTGATGTTGTTACTGATCCGCTGAATTTTATAGTTCTAATTTTGGTTTTCTGTGCTTTTTGTGGGGCAATATTATTTGAATTCCTAAATTTTCGGTCTGTGGGTTAATAAATGCAAATTTAATCTCACTCTTATATTTGTTTTGTGATTTAATTACTTTGTTGTGATATTTGAATTTTGGGGTTAATCTGATCCTTGAGTTTTACCTCTAATCTCAATTTAGTGACTGACTTTTTAAATGTCCCACTTTTGGTCCTAAGATATTATTTTGTTTCAGTTTCTGTCCCTTTAAATATTTGACTAATTCTGGGCTTTGAATTATATGTGCTACTGAGATTGATCAAAGATCAAATTTTGTGTTTAATTCAGATTGGATGGGAAAAATATGTTGGAGATGTTAAGAGGAAAGAGGCTGGTTTTCGTGGGAGATTCTCTCAACAGAAACATGTGGGAATCCCTAGTTTGCATTCTGAAGAACTCAGCGAAAAATCAAAATAATGTTTTTGAAGCCCATGGAAGACACTTTTTTCGCGGAGAAGCCTCATATTCTTTCATTTTCAAAGTAAGTTAAAATTTTGGACCCTTTTTCCAATTTCAATTCAAATATTTTTTAATCTTGAATATGTTACTAAATTTGATGGTTTTTTTAGGACTATGATTGTACAGTGGAGTTCTTTGTCTCTCCTTTCTTGGTTCAAGAATGGGAATTGAAAGATAAAAATGGAACAAAGAAGAAAGAAACTCTCCGTCTCGATTTGATCGGGAGATCTTCTGAGCAATACAAAAGTGCTGATTTTATTGTCTTCAACACCGGACATTGGTGGACTCATGAGAAGACCTCCAAAGGGTAAGTTGTGATTGTGATTATAATGTTCAAGTCGGTAAGTACGTATTATTTGAGTTTGTGATTGGAAAACTAAAAGGAAAAATTTTGAAAATTTGCAGGGAAGATTATTATCAAGAAGGTAGCCATGTTTATAAGGAATTGAACGTTCTTGAGGCGTTTCGCAAAGCTGTGACTACATGGGCCAGATGGATTGACGCCAACGTTAATCCGAAGAAGTCTTTGGTGTTCTTCAGGGGCTATTCTCATTCACATTTTAGGTAAAAACGGATCAAACATATTTGCCATTGAAATTAACCATGTATTCTGAAAACTTTCCATTTGTGTTCCTTCATCAACACATGGTAATGACAAATTAGTGGAAAAAGTACAAGCCAAATTTTAGTTTTATTCCAATCCCATGCTTCCATTATCAATGTTTAGCATGTGATTTAAGAATATATAAGTAAATCTTTTTTTTTTTTTTTTTTTATCCTAATATGTATGTAAATGTTAGAGATTAACGTGTTGGAATTCTTTTGATTTTTTTTTTCCTCCCTCTTACAGTGGTGGGCAGTGGAATTCTGGCGGGGCATGTGACAGCGAGACTGTGCCGATCAAGAATGAAACATACCTAAGGCCATATGAGTCCAAGATGGCCGTACTAGAGAAGGTGCTGAAAGGAATGAAAACCCATGTCAGTTACCTTAACATCACAAAAATGACGGATTTCAGGAAGGATGGCCACCCGTCAATCTACCGAAAGCAGAACCTCTCCCCGGAGGAACGAAAGTCGCCGCTGTTGTTCCAGGACTGCAGCCATTGGTGCCTCCCTGGTATTCCCGACGCATGGAACGAGATGCTCTATGCCGAGCTCCTAGTTAAGCTCCGCCAGAGGCAACAGCAGCAGCAGAAGAGAACATAGGTAAAAGCTAAAGCAATCATAAGAAGGTTGCAAATATACTTATTGAATTATTGAGTTCAAATCACACATACAAGCAGTATAGTTCTTTTTTCTTTTGTTTTCTTTCATTTTTGCATTATTATAGAGCAACACGACGGAGAGTAAAGGCAATAGTTTTCATAGATATGAGCCTTTGCTGTGGGGAACAGAAAAAAAAAAAAAAAAAAAAAAAAAAAAAAAAGCTTTTTTTTTAAAAAAAAAGGGAGGGG